CACCTTTGGCTCCATCTTCACAGCCTTATTCAAATACTCCCTTTTAATCACAGTCCCCTTCAAGTCGGGCTTGACCTTTGGCTCCATCTTCACAGCCTTGTTCGAGCTTTCGCCCTTCACAAAAACAGGATCTTTGCGGATTCCGGAGTTCTTGGACAGGGTGCCGGAAAACCCTTTCTCCATCTCTCCGATCTTGGGCCTCTTGCTGCCGGTACCGAGGCTTTGGCGCCGGCATCCCTCGTCCGCGGCGCGTTTGGATGAGGATTTGGGGGTTTGGGGGACGTGCGGCTTGCGGTCGGAGGGGGATCGCGGATTCCGATCGGGAGCCGACCCGTTTTTGGGGTTGTCGGATTTGGATTTCGCCATCGCCGGAAAAAAAAAAGACGTCTTTTTTTATCGCCGGAGGAGGCTAAATCGAATTTCTGCTCTTCACTCGGCTGTGAGCCTGTGACCAGCTTTGCAATTTTTCGTTTATTTATTATATCAAATGAAAATTAGAATAGGATTTTTTAATTAAGGTTGCTGGCTTGGAGTTCACTTTTAGTTATTTAATATAATATTGTAGTGTTTTTTGAAATAATATTTGTTGAATATAATATCAAAGTAAATGTACAGATGTCACCTACACATAATATATTGAACATAAAAAAATAAAAGCTAAAATATACCTCGTAATTATCGAAATATGATCCTTTGTATTGTTCCCAGATGTGACCAGGTGCCGGGCCACGGGCTCTACCTGGACCGCGACCGGCTCGCTAAGAACCAAGGGCTGGTTCATAAAACCGGCCCGAACCGCCGGTTCACCGGTTCGGCGGTTCACGGGACGGTACGGTCCTTGAGAAAAACAAAGAATTTGGCCTGGTACAAAAATAAAAAAAAAATTGAACCGGGACCGAATCGTGACCCTACGGTTCCGATTCAACGAACCGGCTCTTAGGAGGCTAGTTCCGGGCCGGGCCAGTGCCGGTTTGCGGGTTGGGCCATGGGCCGGTTCGAGCCGTGGCCATGTCTGATTGTTCCCCTTATTATTTTAGAAATTGCCGAAAATCTCAATATATATTGAACATAAAAAATAAAATGTGCGATATTCTTCGTAATTATCGAAAAATTATCCTTTGTTTCCTTTTTTATTTTAGAAATTGCCAACTGCGAGTTCGGTTTAAGACCCGACCCAGCTCGTCGGGTCGCAAGGTCTCAAAACAGGGGCCCGAAACCGGCTTGGCTTATGTGTAAATGCCAGTTCACTAAATCGGCTCGAATCAGCTGTTCACCGGTTTTTTAGAAAAATAAAGTAAAAAATACCAATGTCAACCAGTGGCGAAACCAAGATCCCGTTTTGGGGAGGGCCTAATTTGCCTTTGAAAAAAATTTTCACGACAAAACCAAATTTTCACTTTGTCTTCTTCGTCACTTTGTCTCTCTTCTTCTCTGATCCATGCTTCCCCTCCATGGCTCCATCCGGCATCGGAGGGGCGCTCAAAGGGCACCCTTCCAATTCCAGCAAAATCCTTCACTCCTAGTTCGAATTTTTTTTTTTTGGGGAAGGCCGGCGCCTCTCTGACCTACAACAAAGTTTCACCCCTGATGTCAACCCGGAACCGACTCAGAACTTGCCCGGAATCGGCATGTTATAAAAAAAAATCAAGACCCAGAACCAACTCGGTATTACCACGAGTCCAATTCAATTGCCGAGTCCGGTCCAATTCAAGGCCGGGTTGTGGGTCTGGGTGGCCATCTTTAATGTAACTTATGACTTGTAGAGATTGTCTAGCATGCAAACCAGCTTTTCCAAAGCCAACTTGCCTCTACTCTGCTCAATAAGGTAGAAAGAAAAATTTTTGTATATAACTTTCTAATAGTTATAAGTTTAGCTCAGCTCATTAAGGGTCGAATTCGTAATTAAACGAGCTTGTTTACATCCATATGTGTGTCTGACCTTAAAATGGAAAAGCTCATGTGGGCACAATTCACCCATGCTTTTTAAAAAGCAGAACAAAAAACACATAACCACACAGCATAAAATTTGTGACCCTGCCACTGTCATATATATATCCTAAAACAAACCCATTCAGATTTTACAGACAAAAAATGTTTTGAGCCTCATGACAAGAATCGCACAACAAGTGCATTTTACTTTTGTTAACCATTTCACCCGTTAGATATAATATTTACCAAAAAAATAAAAAAAAAAAATCGTATAAGTTAGCTGGTGTTCTCCCCTCCATTGCCCAACCGTATCAAGCTCCACGATCTCATCTCTGCACCTGTACAGGTGGGTTAAAAACTCAACAGTCTTGAGAGTTTAGTCCTGCATTCGATCGAAATATTCGAACTTAGATAACTCGCGATGCCTCTCGTGTAAAAGAAAAGGACATACAGTAATATCAACAAGAATACATATAATTCTTTTATGCTATGCTTGGAACAAGAAGATGATTAGTAAAGACCCATATGTTCAGTACATGTGAGTATATATTATCATAAACTTCTACAAAGTGTTGAATATCCCATCCATTATAAAGAATTGCAAGACACAAAGCGGACACATTTTCAAAAATGCCATTTTTTTTTCTTTTATTCATGTTTATACAAAGATGTTTATAAAAAAGAGAAGGAAAACTATTGTTACGCTTACCTCGAAAAAAGAAATCATTTTTAACCTTCGTCATCCGAACTGAAATCATCGTCCAGCTGGCGCTCCCTCATTGCCGGGAACAGCTGCCGGTTGATCTCTATCGTCGACTCCTCCTTCCTCGGCTCCACCTTCACTTGCATCACTCCTCTCGACAAGCTCTTCACATCCAAACACGCCTTATCCAACATCAGCAAAAAGTCGCGCACGATTACAAACAGGTGGGACCCCTCATCCCTCCCGGCCCTCCCATGGAAGTAATCCCCCGTGCTGCGCACCAGAGCCGTGATCCTCCGCTCCTCGTCCTTCAGCCACTGGATGTCCGACTCGCACTGGCCCACAAACCCGACGAGCACCTCCCTGAACCCTCCCGCTCCCGGCTCCCCCTCGTCAACTCCTTTCATCTCTCCCTCGAGAAACGCGCTCGTCTGCTCGAGGGCCCGCCCGAGGGAATTCGTGGTCTTGATCAAACTCTCGTTATCGATCAATGCAGCTTTCTTCACGTTGCGAAGCTCGTTGCTTAGCCCGGACACGACTTGAAGCCCGAGGGCCCGGTGGTACTCCTCCGACTCGTGCGAAGGGTCGTCAAGGGAAAGGTCCTCGGTTTTCACGCTCGACATGCTTCGGCTCTCGCGCAATCGGCGGGCCGCTCGGATTCCTTCCGAGCGGATGATTTCTTGGACCACAAAGTGGAGGAGTGTGGTTTTACCGTCAGTGCCCTTCACGTCCGAGAG